GGTGTTGTCTCACTGTTCTAGAGGGATCCTATTCATGTCGTCTACGGTCTTCGTCTTGTGGCTGCCCTGCTGTCTGGTGTGGTTCGCACCTCGGGCGGCAAATCCACCTTATATTATCGCACGCTGATGGCTTTTTCTCTCATTTTCTCCAATTCATGGACTCTATCGTTGAATAAGGCAGTTTCGTTGAGTTTCTCGTCAAGTCATCTAGAAAGGAAGATAGATGACTGAATACTGCGTCTAAAAATAGACGGAAGACATTCAATAGTTGCATGCCAGCAGCGGCTACGACAGTCACTCTGCTTCAGACATTATGATTAATCGATGAATCTCGTCCAGACAACAGAATCCTCAGGTATTTGATGTCATTTAAGTTAGTAGCCTCAGCCGCATGCAGCAATCGTGCTCTAGGCGAGTCTTTGTGCCATCTTGTAAGTTATCGCACCAGGAGTATTGAGGATCTACACTTGTAGGGTATATAGTACAGTTTATGAGCGGAACGCTTATTCGATACGTCTTGTGATAGGCCCGTTCGTCTAGGGGTCAGGACGCTGGATTTTGATATTGAAAATTCCAGAAGCACCAGTTCGAATCTGGTACGGGCCTCAGATTTTTTTCTTGGCGCCGTCAGCAGCCATCATTCGCGCACCTTTGATCCTAAAGTTGTATGATCTAGGTATGTACATTCATACATCCCTTTATACATGGATTTTGTCCGAGGTGGCGCAAACCTTTTTGAACAACTACCTGATGATGCCAAATGCGAGATTCGCACATCTCACAGCGCCCGAATAAAATCCAAACCGCTCCATCCGTCATTCCAAAATTTCATAGACCATGCGCCAAAATAAGATTATGTAACCTCGCTGAAACTGGTTCCAATCACGGACCTGTAACCAGAAGTATCGTATCCAGTTCAGTCACTACGATTGTTTGATAAAACTCCGAAGCAATCCCCGGTCGTCGAACCAAAGTCCTGGCCCAGGTACATATATATGTATGTACATGGTTACTTTCATGCCCGACGTGTCGGCTAACTTCCGTCCTTGACGGTTGGAACCATAGTCCCCTAAGCAGGCGGGAAACATTGAAGAATGACGAGCCGCCGCAGCACACCAGTCAGTGTCCAATGAAATGTCACGCTCTGCGTACACTCTCTTCGCCACGCATTCAAGGGTGCTGACAGGTCTACTTTCTGGTGTCTCGTGTCTGAAGTCTGTCGGAGACTTGGAGGTGAGGCTATTGACGACAACCCGACCATCCACAAACGCGCTTGCGATAATCTGCCTTGGTTTGTGCCCAGTTTCCCTTTTCAGGCGTCTTCCTTCCCTGGACTTCCCCAGCGTCATCCTTACCACTTCGGGGGCGGACCCACGGTCGGTCACCAGACTGCAGAGTGCGTCACTGGACTGGCTGATGGACAACTCACATGCGCGCACTAATAATGTGCCATTATGTGGTGCCTCAACTTGTCCTCAAAACTCGACAACCTGTTGTGTTATTGTCTCTGGTATCTATATCTTCTCCGTGTCGCGTGCGCGTGTCCTGCCTCCTTCACCCCAACGAATCGCTCGACCTAATCACATCAACTGCGTTCACCTGAATAGAGTCCTAATTGCACACCGAACTTCACGAGCCGCCCGACGTTCAAGCTTGACCAAACCCTCACGCTTTTGGCGTCAGTCTACACTGTTTCATCTACGAACTCCCAAAAGATCTTTCTTTTATTTCTTCTATTGAGGAACCGATTGACTTCGACTTGTTCGCACAGAGCAGAAAGCTGGGTACAGGATCAATGATGGGATAGAATTCCTTCTCACGCAATACCCCGGTTTTCCATTTGCCTGTTCGCACTTTTCCACAGGGGTGGAAATGGCGGATCTTCTCCTCCAGACACACACAGCTGGAGGCCTTCACGGAGCTGGTTCCAAGTCAGTTTTGTCTCCTCAAGCAAAATCTGACAACTCCCCATCCCACCTAGACAGCGGCCGCACAATCCGACAGGTCGTCTCGAGGACGCTCCGAGATGCAAGCAATGCGTTTCTTTCTTGGAAGGACGGGTTGAGCCCCGAAGACCGTGAGGTTGTTCGATTACGGCACCAGAAAAGAGAGGAGTCCTTAGGGGAAATGAAATCTGTCAGTGCGAGTGAAATTCAATTTCCTGTGGGAACATGGCAAGACAAAGAAAAGTTCTGCGCTAATCTTGATATGATCAAACAGGCCGAAACATACCAGCAATGGAGTGCTGCTGCGTCAGAACTCGATCAGCTCGATGGCAACGACAGATGGAAGCATGACACAGAGGATGGTGAATATGACTTCTTGCTCATTCAAGAGCGCTTGAGTGCGCTCGACGAAGCACGAGCAAGTGGAGATGTTCGAGCCACTATGCATCTGATCCGAACAGAATTAAGTCGAGGCCTGGGAGGTATGGACAACGTCGACTTGTATCGTCACTCATACATTGGCACCAAGAAGCTCATCGAGCGCTACGTTGACTCCGCGATCCAATCGATTGACGCTCTCGTTTGCCAGAGCACCTTCAAACATCACGACGTTCCGATAAAGGATCTTCTGGAAGCAATGCTATACTCGCGGCAAAGTTTTGGCCGCAGCGCGCTGTTGCTCTCGGGAGGCGGCACATTTGGAATGACACATATCGGTGTGCTCAAGGCGTTATTCGAGCAGCAGCTTCTCCCCCGCATCATATCGGGTTCCAGCGCTGGGAGCATCGTCTGCGCCGTCATGTGCACCAAAAGTGATCAAGAGATCCCGGAGCTCATCCAGGCATTCCCATTTGGCGACTTGGCCGTCTTCGAAGAAGAAGATAGTAGCTTGGGTATCTTGGGACATCTACGCCGTCTGCTCACGGAGGGAAGCTGGTGCAACATTGACAACCTCAAGAGGGTCATGCGAGGCATGATGGGCGACATGACGTTTCAGGAGGCGTACAATCGAACCCGTCGCATTCTCAATATTTGTGTATCTACTGCATCAATCTACGAACTTCCCCGGCTACTCAATTACGTCACTGCGCCGAATGTCATGATATGGTCGGCTGTTGCTTCATCGTGCTCTCTTCCCTTGGTATACAAGTCTTCCCCATTACTCGTCAAAGACCCTGCAACAGGCGAGCATCATCCTTGGATCCCCACTCCTCAGCACTTTATTGACGGCTCCTTGGACAACGACTTGCCCATGACGCGCCTCGCCGAAATGTTCAATGTCAACCATTTTATCGTCTGTCAGGTGAACCCACATGTGGTCCCTTTTTTATCAAAAGTCGACGTTCTTCCACAGGATCGCCGACTCCAAAAGCTGGATGGTTCCCATTCCGACGGGGAACTTGATTGGGAAGACACGCTAACCACCTTGGCCAGGGACGAGGCTCTGCATCGATTGCAGTTCATGGCCGAGCTTGGTATCTTCCCCAACCTCATGACCAAGTGCCGAACCATACTGAATCAAAAGTACTCAGGCGATATCACTATCTTACCAGAGGTCGCCATGAATGACTTACCGAAAGTGCTGACCAATCCCAATGCCGAGTTCATGATACGGTCCTGCATCGCCGGCGAACGAGCAACCTGGCCCCGACTCAGCCGAATTCGCGATTGTTGCGCAATCGAGCTCGCGCTGGATCGCGCAGTCCACAGCCTACGTGCCCGGGTAGTCTTTTCTGAAAGTCAGCGGAATTTACGAGCGCTTGGCACAGGTCTGGGGAACCTCAAACTCGGTAGCAGCGTGGTACCCACTGCCTTTAGCTTGCAGTCGCCCGCTGCTACTGTGGTCATGGGGCACTCGGCCTCTACTTCTGGCAGCAGATGTCAAGTCCACAAACGCAGGCGCTCCGGGGGCAGCTTTCAGGCCTCACATGACGGGCGCACTATCCTAGGTATGAGCAACACAGAAAATCACGCTGTTGTTCAGGAAATCAGCGAAATGGCTAGTCGGGGCCAAGCCGACGCTCGCACTCCTACGTCACTGTGCAAGCCACGCCTCCAGCGAGCAAGCAAAAGCGTCACCAACGTGTTCCAGCACAAAGTACCTGCCAGCACTGCAGCCGCACACGACTTCGACGGCGCTGCAGTCTTCGACTCTTCGCGGCACCTCACTGAGTCAGACGGTCTCTCTAGCGTCACGCTGCCTGGCTGCAGCAGGCAGAATGATATGCAACCGATGACCCCGCGACTGTTCCGCGGCTTCGAAGAATAATATCTTCAAGTTCAACACCAACTTCGGCCAACATATTCTCAAAAATCGGCGCAATGCCATATCGCCCGCTTACGATTTGGACACGAGCGAGGTGGGCCACTCGAGTGACGCGGATGCAGAGCAAGTAACCGAAGAGAGTGATCCAGACCTCTACAACTCTCCATATCGAAATGCGCTGCCTGAAAGCGACCGAAAGACTATCAACGGGCAGGTATGAAGATATGGCAAGGTTTACTGATGTCTTGGACTATAAGCATGCGTATGCCCCGCAGTCACTTTTTGTATGTTCAGTGGGCGTGTTTCAAATAGATACGATTCTCGTAGCGCTTGGGGCACATACATACAGCAAGACCGGATTCGTATTATATTTCACGCAACGTAGAGTATAGATGGCCTGGCAATCGAATCTGAAGGGCAGGCCAGCGCGATATTCCTGTGTTGGCTTGTTGTCATTTGGAGTGATCAGAAGCTCGGTATAATAATTCAAGTCGCCCGTGACGCATAGCATACATTTCAACGATCGCAAGGCCTAGGCCATCATGAGGATTGGAAGTTCTCGTGTGACGGACGAAGGAGACGATACGACCACCAAGTTAAAATAGAACTTGATTTCATAAGAATAAACTTTGAGGCTTCATTGCAATGTTCAACATAACTCAAGCAATACTCCGTAGGTACCTAGTCACTGAGATAGGCCTGTAGGGACGTGAAGAAAGCTGTGATGTGAGATAGCATATCTTTATAGGAATCATTTACGGCATGGTTTTCCATAGAAGATATACATCGGCCGCGTGGCCTAATGGCTAAGGCGCTAGATTTCGGTCCCCTTCCGGTTCTCTAGAGATTCCAGGTTCGACTCCTGGCGCGGTCGTTTTCGGCAGTTGTGCAAGTGGATCTTCTGACGAATAAAACGACGAGCTTTTCTTTTGTCGCCTTTCTCAAGCCAAACCGAAGGGTCCCAGGGAAGCAATGGTTATTTTTGCCCGTTTCGATGCCCCTTTGTACTCCATAGTCCATGCACGTTATAAATTTGAGTCTTATTGCTACGCCTGATATGAGCATCAAATGGGCGGTTCGTGCCATGGAATTTGGGTCACTACAATGAATGCGCAACTGCATAGGTCATTGTCACGACCTGTGCGGCAGGGTGTGGCAATGCACTATATAACCTCGATCAAGCTGCAGACGTGCAACTTGGTCACTTGACCTTTTGGGCGGAACGGGTGGTTATGCGTTTCTCACAGTCATCATCCATCACAAGCCCATACCCTAAAGCTGAGTTGATTTTTACTGAAGCCGCCGTTCCCGTGAAGAACCTTTAGAATGTAGGTCCAACTACATTCTATTCATGGTCACCATATGATATTTCAAGCCCACCTCCTTGACCTGACAATGACAAGGCGCGCAACTGTCAACACCGCACGCGCTGTCGATGGAATCATCCCGAACATGCACACACCACTGGCAGCCACACGCGGCAGTCGGGGCATCAGCCGACGAGCCGTACATGCCCCGACGGGCCGACGGTTATTACAGGGACCTTTCGTGTCCTATAGAAATTTTTAAGCTACATACACAAATAGATATAGACGCGAAGACGAGCCATGATAGCCTGATAGGTAAATATGGCCAATTACATGTATGTAATTAAAAAGCGCAATTGCGAATTCGGGACTTGAATGAAATCTGTGATTCATGAAGCAACTTTCATGGGTGATTCTCTTTGACGCCAGTGATTCTGAGAAGTAAAAACAAATGGACGAGAGTACTCTGATTCCGGTTAAAGAACAAGGAAAGTTTGTTCCGCCGTAATTACCAACTGCGTCGACTCTCGAGCCTCGAGTTGTGCCATGTGGTGGAGTGCGCAAAACCACCACAAAACATGGTCGTCCCAAAATGGACGAGACTCCACTTTTCATTTTGAATGTAGAGGTACCTCTTCAATTGATTCTTGAAGTCTCAATGTCACAACCACCTCTACGGATCTAGTTCTCTGGCGTGCAGACGTATGTGCTCTGTTAAAATCTTTGTAGGTCCAAGACACCGCCAGATCTTTCCTGTGTCGGGGTTTCTATAAACCGCATGGTGAAAAACTTCTTCACTTTCAGAGAGCAAAGTCACAAAAGCTTGAGTGCATGTTCCGGCGCCATACGCACCAAGACGAAGGGATCTTTGAAAAATGATAACATCCATGCCAGGGATCAGAATTTCATAATGTTCTTTACGCATCTGATCAGCAATTTGTTTTGCTGTTAGTCTGGATCCTTTGGACTTCGTTTCGACAAGAGAAAGTAGTCTCTCAAGACCGAACTGCTTCTGACTTCGCGACCGCAATGTGGCTGAGCTGAGAAGGCACTCAATCGCATCATGATTGTGTGAGGCTTTAACGATTTTCAGGTAATGCATGTCGTTACTCTTCTGCAACAGTATGCGTGCTCGGAAGGGGCATATTTGCCCTTCTTTTTCGACCATTCGCTGTAGGACCGATTTTGACGGCATAGAAATGTCCTGTTTTTCATGATTTCGAGTACCGGAGACGAAAAAACGGCCCCCTTTCACGCAGGCGAAGCCGTCAAGGCGTTGATGGTCTAGAAGTGATGATAGAGCATCTTCAGCCGACGCGAATTCCCCCTCAATCGCGGATATTGGCTGGAGGTAGTTCGTCATTGTTGGTTTACGTGCGAGCCCCAAACATAATGCGCGGCGCACGAATTGTTTGCAAGATAACGTCATGTCTGGTCGTAGGTGAAAAAGCAAAGAGTATGTCCGTACTTATCAGGTATCAGGGGACGTAGTTGTGGAAGGAAGGGAAGAAGAGGAAAGGTGCTGAGACCACGTGGTGCAGAGTTTCTGAACGCGTCGCGCATTGGAGCAATCGGCCACGTGACATGGGTTGTAATCGAGCCATTCTCGACATCATGGGCAGCAAACCTATAAAGTCAAGCATACAAAATCGATCGGGCAGAAGGTCGTGAGTGCGACACGCGAGAAGCAGTTTGGAAATCCGTCTACAAGTACCTTTACACCCAAGTTGAAAAGTGGAGCATCGTCCATTTTGGGACGACCATTTTTTTGTGGTGGTTTTTAAAAAGCTTTGTGGTGGTTTTGCGCACTCCATGTGGTGAATGTGATGAGGAAGCTGCGCTCGTGCTACGTAACCGTAGGTACATAGTTTTATTGCCAGGGTTGGCCTTGAGGACAAGTACTGCATCACGTGATGATGGCTGAATGGCGTCAGCAAGGCTGGGATGACAGAATCGCGAGGCTGATGGGGCGATTGAGCGATCAGAGCACGTCATCGTTGCTGGTGATTCGTGAGGGGCAATCCAAAGATGGGGCCAGCCGCCACCGACGATATGGCTAGGTACCTAAGGTAGGTAGGTACCTATGTGCCTATCTAGGTGCGATGAGTGAGTTGAGATGGAACGATGGGCTTCGAATGTAGGGTTAGCCGCTGGAATTGTTGATCTTATACTCCGTATGTACCTGTTGATTCCATCAAGAGGAATTTTGCGCTGAGCTGCTTAGGCCTAACAACAAAAAACTGGACTTGCGGTATCTACCTCTCCGTACGTGGATGTACCAGGTAGGTAGATCGGCGGGGTAACGGCCTTATATTAGCAAGAGTTCGAGGCCGACATCACCGCAGAGCCAAAACGCCAGGTTTCGCACGCCACCATGCTGTGCTGGTCGCGACAATGCCTCACGCCTGGCGTGCCCTGGTTTAGACCAGAAATGGACAGGTTCACGGCTTCTCTTCTTCGCCCGCATCATAAGGAGAGAGCTAAGCGGGGCCGTGAGAAAAGATGACACTCTGATATGTAGCCGGGGCGCTGGAGAATGTGGAATCGCTTCTTCGAACGGATGGCGACATCATGGAGCCTTGACAGCCGGCATTGGCGGACACACCTACCTATAAGTGTTGTGCTTATATAGTGTTGTCAATGCCCACCTGAGAGCTCTCACCCTCGTTTCCCCACCTCCTCCCACTGTCATCGACTTCACATCTCTCTCTTCTTTTGCTCACTTGACAAGAAGCCAAATACACTGTAGCAAGAAATACAACTTGCAGCAAAAGAAGCAAAGCACATACAAACCCACCAACACTCACCATGTCCAGCGCTCTCCGTCTCGGCTCCACGGCCCCCGGCTTCACCGCCGACAGCAATATCGGCAAGATCGACTTCCACAAATACATCGAGGGCAGCTGGGCCATCCTGTTCTCGCATCCACAGGACTTCACGCCCGTGTGCACCACGGAGCTTGGCGCATTTGCCAAGCTGGAGCCGGAATTCACGAAGCGCGGCGTCAAGTTGCTGGGCCTTTCGGCCGATACGATCGACAGCCACGCGACCTGGATCAAGGACATTGCCGAGGTGACGGGCGGCAACGTTCAGTTCCCCATCATTGCTGACCCCGATCGTGTGGTGGCCAGCCAATACGACATGTAAGTTGGCGAATGAGTGCCCGATTGCCCGATTCTTGTCTTCTGCTCTATTCTCTATAGTTGGGAGCGTCGTTCCTTCCCATCGTACAATTGCAACACGCCCACACCTCAATTTGGTTAGCTAATGGGCGGCCTTCCTTTTCTAGGATCGACCACCAAGATCCTTCCAACATTGACCGAAATGCCCTCCCTCTCACCATTCGATCCGTTTTCTTCATCGACCCCAAGAAGACCATTCGCACAATCCTCGCCTACCCAGCCTCCACTGGCCGCAACGCCACCGAGGTGCTTCGCATTGTCGACTCCCTCCAGGCTAGCGACAAGTACAAGATTGCCACCCCCATCGACTGGGTCCTCGGCCAAGATGTCATCGTCGCCAACAGTGTTAAGGAGGCGGAGGCTAAGGAGCTGTTTCCCAACCACAGGGTCATCAAGCCTTACCTCCGATACACTGCTCTTCCCTGATCTTGAGTAGAAGCGTTGCAGAATTGAACGAGCATGCTGTGGTGGCGGACGTTGGCGATACATACCCCAGAATACTATAATTTCCATTTTCAGATCGACTGAGATCTTGGCCCAAGCTCGCTGTATTGTTTATCTTGAAGGGTGGGAATGCCAGTCAGCATTCAGCAATGTGGTCAAGAGCCTCTTTCTCTCGCCTTTGGTTGGTGACGGAACACATCCATTGACCGCCATCACCGCTGCCACGGCCTACGAGGGTAAATCCGGCAACAATTGAGACTGTCACGAGACGGCTTGATGTGGCGTCGACAAGTTACCACATCGTACGCACGAGTCACGACTGCTCCATAGATTTCCGACTGTCTGGATTTCAACAGTAGTCCTCTGATGCCGGAATAGCTTTAAAAGGTGGACAGAATCTTATTATAAAAACCTATGCCAAGTCTTGAATCAACACAAATGATTATCTTCGTCGTTCACTTCTCTTTCATCCATTATCATGTAGACTGTTTGAGCCTCGCGATCGGTTGGTACTATGACCCATTGACCCTATCAACTCAGAACTGTCTTCTGCTCCACATTTGGCTGACTGAATCGCGGAACGAACTGAAATTGTTACTCGGAAGGACAAGAGCGTCTAACCTTCGAGCACTTGTGCCCCAACTTTCTTTTGCACAAGCGAGACCTGTTTGTTATATGAACGACGCTAACTTTGTTTACGACATCAGTACGCCGTGCCCCCATGCGCAAGTGCCACCAGGTCAGGGTTCCCTTCTTTGAGAATTGTTTTTTCCTTGGACAAGTTCTCCAACAATACGTCCGGCAAGCCTAGATGGTCCTGAACGGTCTGCTTGGGCGTCAGTGCGAGCCACTGGGCGACGGAGATGTCAGTGAACTTGGGTGCGAGAAGCACCTCGAGAAAAACTAGGTCCCCCGTGCCGGTATTCTCAATGTAATGGGCG